AGCTAGAAGAAATATTAATATTAGTGGTAGAGCTAAAACCAGAACTCTTTTTACTAGGCATAACCATGCAGAAATACGACAAAGGTGTATTTTATTTGATGTTACACATTCTCACGGCTGCTAGATTGGTGTATGCTCAAAACTGGAGGAATAAAGGAATTCCAACAGAAGAAGAGATTTTATATAAAATTTTATCGTGTGCTGAAATGGATAGGCTCACAATGGAAATGAAGGATAAGTCAGAATCAGACTACTTTGAAATCTGGGACAAATTTTATTACTGTTGTGACTCAAGGAGAACTGCTTGGTTTTCAAGTTAGTGTTAAGACAGAAATATATATAACTGTATATATAACTATATTGTATAGAAGAATATGTTTATATAGAGATAAGAATTATGTATTTTATGTATTAAGAGGAACAAATTGTTAGGAATATTTATTCTGGAATGTCACATTATGTCCATCTTTGTTTTAACTGTATTATAAATAAAAAACTTTTTAAAAAAAGACTCTGAATGTCCTGATTTAGAGGATCGATTCAGAGATAAACTCGTGTGTGGCCTGAGGAACCGAGATTTGCAGCAGAGGCTTTTCGCAAAAGAAACGCTGATGTTCCAGAATGCATTAGAGGAGGTCATGGTGGACGAGGCTGCCGGTGGTTCAATGAAGGCTTAACGACCTCAAAAGACTCCCTTCAGCCAAACAGCTGTGCACCACGAAACTACAGAAATACTGGAAGACCCAGACAAGGGTGATGAGATCGAAGCAACCCATCAGATGGCAATGTCCCATTGACAAGGCAGTTCTATTCCCTAGGTGTGCCAGCTGCGGCGAAAAGCACAAGAGTCTGAGTGCAGATTCCGCACTGCAGTGTGTTGTGCTTATGGCAAGCAAGGGCACATTGCCAGAGTCTGTAAAGGGCGCCAGAGAGAAGTTCTGCCTGAAGACATCCCACAGAGAGGTAAATGGGCCCCGGGACAGAATAGGGCCGGTTACTGCTCTGGAAGGAGAAACATATTAAGGACAGGAGCCCAACACCCTCTAAAAGAGAAGCTGAGACTTAAAGTCAGGCTACAAGGGCTCCCTTGTTCTATGGAACTAGACACCGGGTCAGCCCTGTCCATAATCTCTCACAAAATGTTTAGCTACATCTGCAGACAAGGCAGGAAATGAGTCCAACTCAAACCGTCAAGGCTTGTTCTGACAGACTTTCAAAATTGCCACGTAGTGGTAAAAGATGAAGCCACAGTAAAAATCAGCTTCAAAGAGTTCGAGGGTTCCCTCAACGTCATGATCAATGAACGCCAGCACACCAGTTTGATTGGGATGGACTGGTTTGATGCATCAGAGTAACCGGCATCAACCACACACAAACAGCTGACCTAGTGGCTGTATGCCAGGAATTTGTGGATGTGTTCAGCCCTAATCTAGGTCACTACAAGTGAGCATCAATCTCCCTTAACCTCGATCCAACAGTAATTCCTATCAGGATCAAACCTCACTAAAGCCTAAAATAAATGCTGAGCTAGACAAGTTAGTACAGCAAGGAGTGCTTCAACCTGTAGTTAGCAGTGTGGCAAACCCTCTTAGTAACCCCAGTGAAGCCCAATGGGGACATTCATATTTGTGCTGATTACAAATGCATAATTAACAAAGCTTTGCAGCAACATGCTTACCTAGTTCCAGTGGTAAGCCACATCCTGGCATCACTGCAGGGAGGTTGTGTATTTGCTAATCTGGACCTCATACAGGCATATCAGCAACTGCCTGTGGATGATGCCACAGCAGAGGCTCAGACAATAGTCACACATAGAGGGGCATTCAGGGTTTGTCGCCTGCAGTTTGGGGTAAGTATCGCCCCAGGGTTGTTCCAGAGTGTAATGGAATGTACACTTAAGAATATTCCAGGAGTGTGCCCTTATTTTGATGACATTCTGATTGCTGGAGAATCTGCAGCAGTCTTAGCAGAATGTCTCAGAGCAGTTCTTCAATGGTTCCGCGATGCGGGGTTGAAGTTAAAAAGAGACAAATGCCAAATTGGTGTGAACTCTACTGAGTTCCTGGGATTCCGAATAGATGCTGCTGGAATCCATCCCTCTGACTCTAAGCTTAAAGCTGTACAACAGGCTCCCAGACCTAAGTCAAAGGGGGAGCTGCAGTTATTTTTAGGGCTACTTAATTTCTATCATTCATTCCTGCCACACAAGGCAGCATTGACAGAGCCACTTCATCGGCTTCTGGATAAAAAGGCACCGTGGGAATGGATAAACATCCGCGAAAAAGCTTTTAAAGCAGTCAAATCACTGCTGTCATCAAGCTCAGTATTAGCTCACGTCAATGAAAAATTGCTTGTCAATTTAGCATGTGATGCTTCACTTTATGGCATAGGAGTAGTTTTAAGCCATCTAATGACAGATGGGCATCAAGCACCCATCGCTTACTATTCCAGAACGTTATCCCCTGCAGAGAGGAACTACGCACAGATAGACGAGGCTTTAGCCATTGTAACTGGAATTAAAAAATTCCATGACTTCCAATATGGGCACTCCTTCACCATTTTCACAGATCATAAGCCTCTCTTAGGTCTCTTCATAGCAGACAAGCATACCCCACATATCCTTTCTCCTAGGATGCTGCGTTGGTCAATAGTCACGGCTGCCTAGTCCATAAGCCAGGCAAGGAAATGGGCCATGCTGATGCACTCAGCCAACTGCCCTTGCCTTACACAGACCCTGACCCAGCACCTGCAGTTCGCATCTTGGCAATCCAGAATCTCCCTGAGATTTCCCCTTCATGCAGGAGATGTGGCTGCTGAAACTGCCACTGACAGAACACTCAGTCATGTACTGTACTGAGTATTGAGGGGGTGATATCTGCTGGCAAACCAGGTCCAGAATTTCATACTTTCACTAGCAGAAAAGATGAGCTGTCAACTCATAAAGGCTGCGTGCTATGGGGAAGTAGGGTAATAGTCCCACCCACATTAAGAAACAAAGTTTTAGAATCTCTGCATGAGGGCCATCCAGGCATAGTTAGGATGAAGGCACTTGCTTGGAGTTACTTGTGGTGGCCTGGCCTGGATAAGGACATTGAGGCTCAAGTATGGAGCTGTCAGGTCTGTCAGGAGACCCATCCTGAAATGCCTCAAGCACCATTGCATCGCTAGGAGACCACGCAAACTCCTTGGCCTCGTGTGCACATAGACTTTGCAGAGACTTCCAAGGACAGGTGTTCCTCATTGTTGTGGACAGCTACTCTAAATGGCTATGACTACTGCCAGGACCATCCAGGAACTGCGCAGAATCTTTGCCATGCATGGACAACCAGATGTATTTGTGTCCAATAACGGGGCACAGTTCACAGCAGCTGAGTTCCAGTCCTTCCTGAGAACCAATGTGATCTGACACGCTACCTCAGCCCCTTTCATCCTGCTTCAAATGGTCAAGCAGAATTAATGGTCAGAATGACCAAAGAAGCACTGAAGAAATTAACAGCAGGTGACTGACATCATTGTTTAGCGGATTTTCTAGTCTGCCAACATACTACTCCTTGCACCACTACGGGTCACAGTCCAGTGGAATTGAGATGGGGATGTCAGCTGACCACCAAGCTGGACCATCTCCACCCTGACAGGGCTGCTGTGGAAGCATCGCAGCACAAACCTCCAAGAAATTTACAGCTTCGTGAGAATGTGTGGGGAAGAAACTACGGGCAGGGGGCACCTTGGGTGGCTGCTGTTGCAAAGGTGTCAGGGGCACTGTCCTATGAAGTGGCCCTGGACAATGGTCATGTAGTCCGATGCCACATAGGCCTGTTGAAGCAGCGGCAGGCTAAACAGAGCCTTGACACTGACAGTGAAAGGACCCTTGGGTTGCCTTGTCATGCCAGAGTCACCCAAGACTATTAAGACTGTTCCTGTGATCTGAGATCACCAACGGACTGTGTCTCGAGTAAGCCGGCCAGTATCGTGAGCGAGTATAGCGGCACTGGCCTACCTGGCAGTAATGGACATAATGGCACTGGTCTACCCAGTACGAATGAATATAGAGGTATCGGTCTACCCAGTATGAACGAATATAGAGGTACTGGTCTACCCGAAGTAATCGGACTAAAGGACCCTGGTCTACCCAGCACAACAGGATGGATGGTTGATCGAGAGCCCTGAGCAACGTTCCGGCGCACCGAAAGGACATGTAACGCACCGGCCTATTTAAGTGATTACATTAAGTTTACACTAAGTATGACTCTGTCCAGGGGGAAGGGGTGTTATGTATTGGTTTGAAAAGTTATGATTGCTATGAACACTTGTGTTATATTTGAAAGGGTCTCCAATTGTTTCAGAGGGAAACTGCAGTCTGAAAATAAGCAGGAAAATATCCTTCAAACTGATTAGTCGCCGCCTAGTGGCGGCAATGTATAAATAGCTGTCAGTGTGACAGACTTCACTTCTGTGTTTTCAGCAATAAAGAGCAGTTGTTTTACATCGGTCTGGTCTATGTCTGAATGAACTCAATACACAATAAGCAGTTTCTAGCACTCAGCTAGAAACTCTCATTTGGGTTTGGGGAGTGGAGCAGTCTGGAAAGAATGCTACCTTTTGCCTTGTATTTTTCAACTAGGTTAGCGAGTGCTAGAACTAGGAGGCGTCCTCTGCTTCCTAGTTCTGCTTTTCCTGATCTGAATTTTTAATTCAGTCTGCTCTTAGAGTCTGAAATGTCTTCAGCTACTAAAAGGGGATCTTTTATTTTTCCAGATTATTTTATACTATTACGTGCAGGAGGAATTAGGGTATTACAATTCTGCGTGCAGTCTATTTTATATTTAATTTATATATGTAAAGTTTTTGGGGTGTATAGTATTGTTAATTTTAATAATGATAAAACTGCAATATTAACAGTATCAGTTAGATGTTATTTTAAACAGATGCATCATGTAGAAGAATCTTGAGGGGAAGAGGTCTGAGTTAAAGAACAGTCCTTGACAGACTGTACTACTCACTCTGTCTTTGGAGAGGTTTCACTAGTTGGGCTCTCTTTTTCAGACCTGACAAAGAACAGAAAGATATTTTAATATAATAGAAGTTACAAAGAACTCTTCTTCAGCTAAGAGTGTCTCCTTCCCAGGAAATGTCTTGGAGGAAAAAAGTTCTAAGTTAAAGAACAATCCTTGACAGACTGTACTACTCACTCCGTCTTTGGAGAGGTTTCACTTGTTGGAGTCTCTTTTTCAGACCTGACAAAGAATAGAAAGACGTTTTAATAGAAGTTAAAAAGAACTCTTCTGCATCTAAGCTTATCTGGGAAGGATGATGGCTCTTTTGTTTTCAACCTTCTTAAAATGGAAGGGAGTTTTAGACTGGTTTTCCTCAACCTCAGCAACTTTAAGGTGTTAATATTAAGCATGGCTGGCTAGGGAATTCTGGAAGTTGACAACCACACAGCTTAAAGGTTCTGTGATTGAGGAACATTGCTGTAGATAAATTGTTCTCTGGAAAATGGCTATCATAAGCTGCAATCTACTGGAGAATTTTTTTTCTCCTGGACAAATTAAACTAAATATCACTGCATCCCAATTTGCTTGCATATAGCTAGGAATTTCAAGAGGTCTCTTAATACAGCAACTATGAACTATTTATTTAAATAAATTTGATTCAGACATTCAATAGCAGTACCACTAGGACTTATATACTGCTTCATTGTGCACTACAGCCCTCTCTAAGTGGTTTACGGAGTCAGCATATTGCCCCCAACAATCTGGGTCCTCATGTTCCTGACATGGGAAGGATGGAAGGCTGAGTCAACCTTGAGCCGGTCAGGATCGAACTCCTGGCAGTGAGCCACCACAACTCTTTCATAAATTGAATGAATTAGAATCTATGGGTGGATCTAACTTCAAGAAAAAAAATAATATGCCACATGTATAACTCTACAGGTACTCACAGCTTCTTCGAACTGGCCTTTTTCACAGGTTCTGGAGCCGGAGCTGGAGCTGGAGCCGGAGCTGGAGGCGGAGCCAGAGGCGGAGCTGGAGCCAGAGCTTCAGCTTCTGCTGGTGGTGGTGGTGGCGGTGGCGGTGGCAGTGGTGGCTGCGGTGGCATTAGCTCCCTAGGAAGACAAAACAGAAACAGAGATTAATCCCAATTTAAAGTGTTCTTTCCCAAGTTGTGTTCTTTTGTTTCCTTATGTGAACTCAGCATTTTACATTTTCTCTAAAGGGAGCAACCAATGGTTCACGTCTCTTCTATATTTCAAGAGATTGTAAACAATCCTACAGGACAGGATGCAACAGAATAATAAACTCATTTTAACCATATAAAATTTGTATTTATCATTGAACAAAATAGGGTCTGATCCCATCATAAAGGACTTCTGTTGCAGTTCTTTTAGAGCCTTAAAGCTTTTACTAGTTAAATGTATATCTGTTTAATTTGTTCTGCACCCAGATGGCATTCCTGCTCTAAGTTAACCAGTTTTGAGGAATTTACATAAAGATTTTTGGTGGATTTGTTTATTTAACAATGATTGTTTGCATACAGGCCTTCCTATCAGTGTTGACTCCTGGCAACCATGTGGACTAGTCTCATGGGAAGATATCAGAAGTGGTTTGTCATTGCTTCTTTCCTAGGGCTGAGAGAGTGACTGAGCCAAGGTCACCCTGATGGCTTAATGCCCAAGGTGAAACTAGAACTCAGCACCTCCTGGTTTCTAGTCTGATAGTAGAAATCGGATCTCTATCAATTACAGCTTTTTTCTAAAATATTAATTTAATTTTAGCCTCACTTTTGGATTGCTAAAATATGAGGAAAATGTAGCTACCTTTGAAAAATAAAATACCTTATTGCAGAGGATAAACCCTTTAATATATAATCTAAAAATATCTAATATATTTAAAATTAAAAAATTCAGTGAAATACCCTAAGTGTTCTTCCAAAGTTTTGAATGCTGCTCAGTTACTCTATTGTGTTGTACACAGCACTCTAAAGATTTCTAATAATATCATTTCAACAAAAATTCAGAAGGCTCGCTATGGTGCTTGAACTTTTAAACAGGAAAACAAAATTAGTAATAATTCTGTGATACATGTAGTAACTCGCGTTATTTCCACAGGAGGAGGTTGAGGGATTTCTTGAGATCTGATAAATAAAGAAGAGCAGAAATTACAGAGTTTGTTGTATAACAATAAGGTTTAAGATTATTATTTTTTTTGCAACTTTTCTTCTTCATATATAGCTCTTCTACTTGAAGGCCATAAACAAACCTATTTTCAAGACAATATTACATACATTGACTCTGCATTGGTGTATGCCCATGTTCAGAGAAGACAATCTCAGCCAGAAAAGCTAATTCATACTATAGATGCAGTATATGAATACAACATCCAAATTGTGGGGTGTTTTTCAGTGAAAGAAGAAAGTAAGCATTTCTGTAGAATGCCACGTTTACCTCTATTAAAAAATATTTGGATGGCTGCCCAAACAAAATTCTTGGTGGCTCATAACAATAAAACCATAACATGAGAACAAACACCAGGCTTTTCAGTCATCCCCTTGGGATGTACCACCATCAATTTCAGACATTCATTCTCCATTCCTGCGCCCAGGTAAAAGCCCAGGAATTGACAGCCTTCCAAAAGCCTAAAAGAGGGGAGGCTTGTGGAATCCTTTGGGGGAGAGTATTCCATAAGGTAGACACAGCCACAGGTGAAGGCACAGTTCCGAACTCCCTCTAGAAAGACTGCAAGACTCCAGGGAAGTGACCTGGAGCACACCTGCCCTATCTGATCTGGTAGGATGGGCAGATACTGTCAGGGGAAGTGATCCCACAAGTATCCTGATCCCTGCTATGTAGGGATTTAAAGGTGACAACCAGTATTTTGAATTACACCCAGAAGGAAGCTGGGAGACAGTATAGCTCATACAACAGAGGTGTAACATGGGCAAACCTAGAAACATTCAATCCTGCATGTGCTGTTGCTTTTTGGACCAGTTGTAGCTTCTGAGTTACCTTCATGGGCACTTCAAGTGATCTTCAAGAATTTATTAATGAAAAATATAAAGTTCTCTAAGTTGCAGAATGGGACGATTCCCCCTGTAGTCATGCGGGGAATTCACTGGAGAATGCAATTGCATTTGGAAGAGTGAGCAGTAAAAGGAAGCCAGGCTGTCAAAGAACATGGTGGCCATACTCCATCAAAGCTGACATCAACCAGAACAGACAGAAACTCAAGTAGTACAAGATAGGAAGATGGTGGGACCTGGTCCATAGAATCACCAAGAGTTGGACATGAATGAATGCACCATCATCATCACCACCACCACCACCACCACCATCATCATCATCATGCTTTGTCAGTTTCTTTCTTGTAATATGTGCCAAAGAGGAAAAAAGGAAAGAAAAATACCTGATGTTGGCACGATTAAATATCTCTTCCTCTTCTGAGGATTCTTCATTGTATAATTTATCGCTGCTGCTTTTTTTCAGTATTTTATCAAATGCTTGATAAGTTTCCTGAAGCCAAAGAGGCTTCTCAAAAGAAGATGCTGGAGTCTAAGCATGAGGAAAGGATGTGAAAAATGATCATAAAACTTCAGTCTGAGATTTTAATTTTCAGTTTGCATTATCATTTTATTTATATCTCAAATTCAAATTCCAGATCCTGGAATGAAGGTTATTCCGTCAGATTTTCCTTTCAGGTTTTGTGAATCCAACCATTGTGATTTATTCCATAAATACTTTTCTGGTCATGGGAACTATGTCATAAAAATGTCTACCAAAAATGGTTCAAAACATTTCTTTTTTCTAAATACCATAATAGTATACATTGGGATATTTCAAACTGTCAGTCATCTCTAGAAATCACAGGTGTAGGACAGGCTGGGCTCAAGACTGTTGGCTGTGACAACTGCCTTCTTCTCCCTCTGCAGAGAGAAGCCAGAGTGGTTCTGAATGACTTGTGTGCGGGGAGAAAATCAAGGTGCCTCCTGTTCCTGAAGACAACTGATTGGCTTACAGGATCCAGGAGAAATGGTGAGAGGCGGCGGAAACTGGCAAGGTCAGGAGGAACATCTGGGAAACTGCCATCTTTATCCACATTACTGTCAACATGGAGAGATTATCCTGCCTGGCTTAGATGACTTTAAAACACAGTGATTGGCTTTAAAACAGGAACATCTACATTTAGAGGGAGCACAACAAATGGCTCTAGACATCAGTTACCAAGTAAAAGCCAACCTATGTCAAACACTGCAGCCCAGTCCTAAAGCCTATTTACTTAGAAGTAAGTCTCACTAAGTTTAATATACTCCCAAAATAAAAGGATTATATTATTTATTTAAATAAATTTATGTAATCGTCCAACTCACTGATAAGTGATTCCAGGCAGCTTGCAAAAATTTTAAAAATCCATCACCCAGTCACAGTTTAATTTGTATTATTATTATTATTGAGACTTGGTAATTGAAGCCTGCCTAAGCCACATCTCTAATATTTATGGGAGTTTGAAGCCTTGTTTTTTTAGATTTAATAAGAAAATTGAATAGCCAGATCACCAGTGGTTGCTTCTGCATTTACATACCTGTTTTTCACGTGTAGCTTTCTTCTTTCTACCCAGAAATGTCCTTAAAGAAACAATTAAAGAGAAAAAATAGTGAGTTCGTAGCCTAGATAAAACCCTTTTGACAATGTTCAAACCAAATATGGCATACATTTCTGTATTGGAGGAGTATACAAACTCTTATTATATATATAGCTGTTTCTCAAAATGGACTCAAAAGGCCTTTTCAGTCACAAGACTCTTCTGTGCACGAACAAGCAATGTGCAGGCAATAGGACACTTGTTTGCCTCTTATGCTGAAACACACACCTGCGATTATCTCCAGAACTTTAAGAGCACATGTTGCAGGTAACCACGTATTTCTTTGGGGTTTTTATTTAATTTACGCTTCGTTAGCATGCATGTCCTCCAGGCAATTTCAAGTTTAATATTTGTTCAGTACTGAAAATAATTTGAAGTTGCCAAGAGGAGAGTTTTAAGGAACAAAGGATATGGGTCCAGTTGAGGAATGTAGCAGGAAGCCAATGCTTGAACATACAAATTCAGATTGCAAAAAATGAGATTATTCAGTGAAATTTTCAGTGTTTTCAACTTTTAGATGCAGCATCTTGTGAACTAAAATTTGCTTTTAAAGAGTGAAACTCATAGGTGCATTGGCACCTAATCTTGAGATTGATCCTCATAAGGAGAATTTTCAGAGTAGAGAGTTGCAAATAACTAAGTGTCTCCAGGGAAGAGTTACCGGTTTTCTTCAGGGGTTCCTTCCATTCTTTTAGCAGCTCGATGAGAATAGATCTGTTTAATCCGAAAAGAGATGTGGTTGTGAGGGATAAATGTAAAAGATTTTTCACAGTGAGGAAAAAGAAACAATGACTGACACAGAGAACTATGTTTTTTTTCTCTGCTTTCCAATAAGAAACTCTTCCTTTTCTCCATCTTCTCTTTGTAAAAAGGTGTGGGGTCTCCAACATGGTCTTGGTAAGTCTCATAAGAAGGTCTTAAGGACCAAATCAAGCCCACCAGCCGGATGTTCCCTATCAGAACTGGAGATGGAATGAATCCAAGCTTAATACACCAATTTGGTTATCCTATTTGGTCCCCTCAACAATAATTTTACAAAAACCAGTCCCATCCTTTCTTGTGATGTTGCTATCTCACTGCCACATCTGCTGTGGCTCTTTGAGATTGACTATATCCTATTAAATCCTGGCTGCAGTAATGTGCTTTTCCTGAGTTACTACGGTGTTCAAAGAACTGCTAGCTCTTCACTAAAGCAGTATATTGAGAGTGTGGAGAAGTTTATCTTTTCATTATTGGACTTTGAGATATAGTAGGTCAGTGGTGGCGAACCTATGGCACGCGTGCCCGAAGTGGCACTCAGAGCCCTCTCTGTGCACGCACGCCATGCCACGGAGATGGCAACTATCCTCTTCAACCAGCCGCCCGCTAACTCGCCGAGGTCCCACATGGCTGGATGCATCCCAGCACCCATGCACTCGCTGGCCTCTGTATGCAAGGGCCAATGGTTGCAGGCAGCAGCCGCCCCGGCCCCTGCCTTGCCTTGCCCTGCGACAATGGCACCCCTGCCCTGCCTCACCTTGCCTCGCTTCACCCTGCCTCATCCTTGCCCCGCCGGATGAGCCTCCTGCCCATCGCCCCACCTGCCACAGACCCCCTGGATCTCCCCCAACCCTCCCCGTCCCCCAAGCGTCCCTCCCCACAAGCAACATTGAGGTGATCATGCCCACTTTGGCCACACCCACCCAATCTGCCATGACCACCACAGGCACACCCACTCAGTGGGCCACGCCCACTTGGCACCTGGCGATAAATTAGTGGGTGTTGGGTTGCAGTTTGGGCACTCAGTCTCTAAAAGTTTCGCCATCACTGTAGTAGGTTAATAAACTGATATAAGGATTTCTAGAAAAATATTTTAGCTTACCTCAATCAAACAAATTATTACAATAATAACCACCATCACCGTTGTCACTGAAATAGCCAACAGCCAATTGATGCCATGCCCATATTGTGAAATTCCCTGCTTTGATATCTGCAAGGTTAAACCAAGTGAAATAAAGTGGAAGATGGGCATTATCATATTTCAACATCTACTCCATCCCAACTAATGACATAAAGGGCAACTTCTACTCATCGGTATGTATCAGACCGTTTTATAACAGCTTCGTTCTCAGATAATGCTAATCTAAAATTTGCTTAATTTGAATATCTTAGCCCATATCTATAGTTGAGCAACACCTATAATCTAAAACCATAGCTTGAAGTTAATTTACTAAGCCATACCATGTTTTAATTATTATTATTAATTATTATCTTGACCTTAGAATCCTGATTTATTGTTGGTTTATACTTTGCCATACCCGAGGCCCTAATCATTTCATGGTGAAATCAAGGGACGACAAAGCCAAGATTTACAAATCTTGTTCCTCTTCATGCAGTCTTGTAACTTTCCCTGGCAACTTTTTCACCATCCATCTTGTCTGCTGAATACCAGACAGATGGAAGATTCTGAAATCTGTATGCCAAATCATCTATTAGCCCCACAAATCTAAAAATTCCTATTGAGTTAAAAAAATATAGCTATATCAGGGAAAAAAAACCATAGGCACAGTCTTATAAATACATGCTCATAATAAACCACTTTGGAATTATAAAATTACAGTAAAAATGAAAAGCATACGTTATATAAAAATAGGTTTATAAAACATTAACAAAAATCCTCATAAATCACTGATAAATGCTTAATTTAGTACTTCTATCAATATAAATGGAAAAAGTATTATTGCCGCTAGGACATGGGAGATATCATATTTCTAAGATTAAAAAATATTTTTTAAAAAGTAGCCAGGAATTAAGTAAACAAGTGACAATTATTCTCTTTATGTGCAATACTGGGTATGGATTATTAGAAAAATTAAAGCAAATCTTTTTTAGTATTATGTGAATATAGATAATACGTAGTATATACTATTGTCCCATTTTCCTCTGCTGTTTAGGAAATGTTTGCAAAATTTAGCATTAAAAAATCTTTAGATATTTCTTATAATATTTATTTTGCTCCTTTAAAATAGCATGTTAAAATTCAAAAGGAGAAATTAAGTTGATAAATCAGACCAGAAACAATGATACATCATTGTAATCATCATCAACAAAATGCAGGAAACATTTGATTATACCATTGTTCAGTGTATTATTTTCTTTAATGACCAGTTATCTACTTTATGAAAGAAATACCGCAGACTCCTGCAGTTCTTCTAATCCATATAAAACCTCTTTTCCTCAGAAAAAAATATATTTTTCCCATCTACCCTTTAAAAACAATAAGTTTTACCAATCCAGCTTTCCCAAAATCATCATATCTGAAATTTCTGTTTTAATTCTGATGAACCTCATTCTGTTTTTTTTTTTTTGTTTTCATGTTTTAGTTACTTTAGCTTTGTACTCTCCAGATGCTGATCACAATTTGTAAGAACCTTACATCAATACACATGTCGTTTATCCTAATATACAGACATGGGAATCAGGCAGAGATGTGGTCTTTGCACCTGCGGATTATTATAAACAATCTAACAAGGCTTTTACTCAAAAAAGAGTAATTGTCTTTACAGAAATGAATGGCAATTAGTTTTCATCAATTTGGCCTCCTGGGGAAAAAAAAAGAGACACATCTCGGTAACCAAATCTTGTAATACTGCTATTTGGGCACCTCTTAGGACTATTTATCTAGGTTGCTTTTACCTCATCAGAAGGTTTCTCCATTTTTCTGGAGCTTGCTGTAGTCATATTCTTTACATTTTCCTCCAGAAACAAGGAGGATTTCAACAGAGCAGATGCCTCCTGGATGTTTTTTCTCTTACTGTACAATTTCATGACAAGACCAATCTTAGAGATGAGAAAACCACAAGAGTTCTGGATAGTCAGTTCTCTGCAGTCTACTTTGATCAAACGGATCAAGTGGGAAATTCCTGATGCGCTCGTTGAGGATCAGGTGTGCCAAGAGTATTTGCACCTCAGTTTCAAAGACATCCCCCTGAAGCAAAGAGTTATCGGTGGTTGAGAAAAAATCAGATAGCAGGGGAGCAGAGGTGGTTTCTTCCTGATACTCCCAATACACTTCATTAGATAATGTTTTCTGTGGCAATCGTTCATTCAAAGTTTTAGCCTCATCAGTAGGCCTTCTGGCGTTGCTTCCTCCAATTATCAAGTGTTTAAGAAAATTTTCTCTTCTTGAATCCTGAGATTCAAATCCCTTCTCCAAAATATTATCTATAATTTGTTCACTCTGAGTATTTTGCTCTTTTATCTGCTCACTGATTACACTGTGATTTCCATGGCTGGGCCTTGCTGATGCGTTGCCAGATTTCAGAATAAAGATGACTTTACTAGCCTCTTCCTCACCACCACCATCCACTACAGTAGAATAAGTCAAAGGAGGCAGCTCTGTTGGAAGATGTAA